TAAAAATGGCTGCTAATTTAAATCAAACATTTTCATATTTATAGCTCCCGGAGACTATCTGAGACAAAATGCTCTGTAAAAAGATCGAATAGGATGAGCGAAGAGAATATATAGTGATAAATGCCAAGATAAACGTCCTCAAGAATCGATTGACCTTTATAGGTTCGAACTATTTCGTCATATAATTGATCTAATTATAAACAGCTTGTCGGAACTACTTTCGAATTGAGAGCTTATCTTGAATGTGCAATATTTGCATCCAAGACATTTTGATGAAATAAATAGTAAATGTATTTCTGAAAAGGCCTTGGAAAAATTATCACAATTGTCATATATATTGAGTGTTAAATTTCATAACGAATTATGTTCATTTGCCAGTGTATTCGAAGATTTGGTAGCAGAATTAAATGAAACGGACGATGATATCGCATGTACAAGTGAGGAGTCAAAGAAGATGGAATATTACAATATGATAATAAATCAGAGTGCGATAATAAATGTAACAAGTGTTTAATATGAGTGTATGAAATTCTTAAGAGAACAATATGCATACAAGTGACACTAATTTATTTTTGGCATATAAATACATTTTAACTTTATCCTTTACGCAGGTTAATTGCGAGAAAGCATTTAGTAAATTAAAAATTATAAAAATAAGCGGTGAACCTAATATTGACCAAGAAAAATTAGAAAGCGTTTTTAATGATGTCAGTTGAACAAGAACTATTAGCGTAGATTGAACTAAAAGATATTCCTGTATATTTGCGCAAAGGTTCAAAGTTAATGAGAGATTTATTAACGTAAAAATTATATATTTTCTTAATTCTTTTATTAGAATCTTATTAATATTATTTACATTATGATCGGTGCCTGATTTTATAAAAGTGCAGCAATTTTATTCTCTGTAATATTGTATTAACTGCAATAATTTTATATTTATAATTAATTGATTTAATATATTAAATATGCATTTTTATTATATTTGACATGTGATGTATGGTTTGAATTTATAGTGCAATATCGTTGTAATCTAATATAAAATATAGATTTTCAATGAATATTATTTTATATAGGTAATGAATATGATTTTAGATGTGCATTTTTTTAAAAATAAAATATATGATTATCGTATAATACTATTCTTTTTTTGTTTACTAAAAATGTAAAACGTTTGAATATTTTCAAAAATAAGAAGTAATAAAAATCATGTAAATCAAAGAAGCCATTTAAGGGAACCCGGTCGAAGATTGGGCAAAAGCGGGCAGAAGGCCCGCAAAATGGGGGTATGGGGGCGAAGCCCATATATAAACGAGGCCGCTATAAAAAATGTTCATGAGGCCGTAGCCTCGCCAGCCCGCCCCTGTTTATTATTATAAAATTATAAAATAAAATAAAAAAAAAAAAATTTCCGTTCCATATCCCTGGTATTTAGCTATAATATGGTTAAATATAATTTATATTGTATTATAGAAATAACAGAATATAGTACAATATAAGAAATTTATAGTGTAAAAATATATAAAGAATAACTACGTCGTCTTTAGCAGGAAAAAAATTAATTACAGGGTTTCCCATTCAAAAATGGAAAATTCCCAATCAAAAAAGGAAAAGTTTCAATCATAAAGGGAAAAGTCAGACAAAAGGAAAAGGGTCAATCAAAAAAAGGAAAAGGTCATATCAAAAAAGGAAAAGTATCGACCAAAAAAAAAGTCCCAAAGATTTAGGAAAATGTCCGAAAAAGGAAAAGTGTCAAACAAAAAAGGAAAAGGTTCAATCAAAAAAGGAAAAGTGTCAAACAAAAAAGGAAAAGGTCCAATCAAAAAAGGAAAATTCCCAAAGGAAAAGAAGTGTCAATCAAAAAAGAAAACTCCCATTCAAAAAAGGAAAATCGTTATTTTTTAAATTTTTTTAAAAAAATATAAATTTTTATTTTTCTTACTATATCTTTTCTTAACTTATTTTTTCCCTCATTTTTGATAATTCTTTTCTCTTTTTAAAAATAATTTATAAATTTTTCCTGTTATTTTTCTTCACTGCTTCTACTCGACTTTTTATGTCATTTTTTTAACAATCCTTTCCTCTTTTTTCACCTTACATTATTTTAATTTTTTATAATTTTTCTACTTATATCAAATTATTTAATTACAATTGCTAAATTAAATTAATTGTTTGGTTATAATGTACCTTTTTAAAATTAAATATTTGAACTATAATACCAAACGATATGTAAATTAATAAAATCTATTCATTTTTAGATTCTTTAAAAAATAAAAAGCAAAAAAGAATAAAAAAAATGAGAAGATAAAAAAAAATTGAAAAAGTTGAGGAAAATAAGGATTAAAAATGACTTAAAGAGATTGAAAAGGTTAGAAATGTATGTAAAAGATTACAATATAAATCTAAAAAATTATAAAAAGTCAAAATATATGTAGGATAAAAGAGGAAATAATCATCAAAAATGACATAAAAATCGAGTAGAAGCAGTGAATAAAAATAACAGGATAAAATAATAAATTATTTTTAAAAAGACAAAAAAATTATTAAAAATGAGGAGAAAAATAAATTGAGAAACGATGTAGTAAAAAATTTATAATTTTAAAAAGATTTAAAAAATAGGATTTTTTTGAAATGACACTTTTCCTTCCCTTTTGGGAATTTTCCTTTTTGATTGACATTTTTCCTTTTTTGATAGAACCTTTTCCCTTTTTGTTTGACACTTTTCCTTTTTTAATCGAACTTTTTCCTAAACTTTGGGACTTTATTGACACTTTTTCTTTTTTGATAACCTTTTCCTTTTTTGATTGAATTTTTCCTTATTATGATTGAAACTTTTCCTTTTTTGATTGAAACTTTTCCTTTTTTGATTGAGACCTATTATTCCTGATAATAGGAAAAAATATGAACAAAAATGTACAATAATGCTTAATGATATAAAATATCTGGAAATAAAAATTTAAGTTTTTAATAAAAAAAATCATATTTTTATAAGTAATACCTTATTTTTAAATTTATCGTCAATATATGTTTTTTTTACCATCAATATATTTTTTTTAATATACCACGCATTCTTTACGCTCTAAGAACTACTCCTGTTTTTAAATATTTTAGTCCTTTGAATGTACATAAATGGGAATCAAGGAACATACCGAAGAGATTCTAAATCTTAAGTTTGAAAAAATTGCTTGAACTCAAGCTTCTCTCCCAACAGTATTTGGCTGTCTTGACATCAGATCTCCTACTGATTTAGCTTTAACAACTTTTATCCTAAGTTACTTATTAACACAACCTATTATTAGCGCTCACTCTCCTGAGGACGATTTGTCATACACTGTGGCATTAGATCAATGGAGATATCGAATTCTTGACGACATCCCTTTATATGGCACTTGCAAACAAAAAGAATCGGACATCCAAGTTTTTACTTGCTGCATCGAAACTACAATGAAGCCTGCAACCCCTAGACCGTTCTCTCTTTTCGTCACTGCTAAATGGCTTTGGGAACGAGTTCCTTGAGGCTATCCCTTTTGTTAATCTTCAATTACAACTCATCAAAAATGAACTCATTCATGCTATTGGAATCCGTTTTAATTGCTCAATTACCCACCTTTGATCTGGATGTAATGTTCCTGTTGACTCGAAAGGATGACATAACCTGCACTGCTGTTCATGATAGGACCCCACATACAATCATTATACGTGCCCTTAATTCTGCGCAGATATAATCGATTCTAGAATTTAGTGGTCTTTTTAGATCTGATTGTAAAAGTCTAGATGGCATTACCCAAATTCTTTGGAAGAGAGGTTTTCCTGTATGGACCCCCTTAGCCATTGCAAATTTTAACCATGTAACGACTTTTTCTTGATTTAATGAGTACATTCATAACAAGTTCTTCTATTTTAATGTATTTAATAATCTGAGAAGTTGTTTTATTTTTTTTTAAAAGTTTTAATTTAAATATTATTATAAATTTTTATCAAAATTTTTTAAACCTTTTCTAAAATGACGATTGATGTTGATACAAGTATAATATATTTTTCAAACATAATATTTATAGTTAGGAAATAAATATTTCATTTTATTTAAGAAGTTCCTCATTCATTTGGCAGGTAACAATGGATAGAAGGAATCTCTGTGTTAAAGTCTCAAGATATAAAATAAACAATGGTAAATGACTTCACCATTCTTATAACGGTAAAGTAATTTTAGACTTTATAAGAAGAAAGGAGTTTATAAAAACATTTATAACCGAATATTTAAATCGCCATTATTAGCCTTAAACATAAATATAAAAGTAATATAATTTTTAAAAATCCTAAGCGGGCAGAATTTTTTTTTAAAAAAAATATCTGGGCCGGGCCTGAAAATATAAAACCTGGACCAGGCCGAAAACATTTTTCTAAAAAATATCCGGGCCGGGACATGCAAATGGTACCTCTGAAGTTCTCTGACTAAAATAAGTAGAATTGAATCGGTTATAATTTTATCATTTGAAAAGGAAAATTACATATGTGAGATTAGATAATAATATTCAAATAAATTAACATAATTATTTATTTTTATTCAAATTAGCGCAACTTATAAAACAAATTTATATAATAACCTCTTAACAACAAAAAATTAGAGGTAAAATAATTTAATAAAAAATATTAATTAAATGAAAATGATGTTCGCCATTTTTTCAAATATATCAGTATCTAAAATGTATTTTATTAAATGAAAGCAAAAATTAAATAATCAATATTTAAAAATATAAATAAAATTATAACTAATAGAGTTTATTTAGGTAAATAATTACGTTTATACACAATGAAGAATAATATTAATGATCATCCCAATTATTTATAATAAAAAATTTATACAATGGATAAGTTTCATAGATAATATGTATTAAATTTTTATATAATTTTGTAAATTGGCTTTAATTTAATAATATTTTTTATGGAATTACTTTCACAATTGATTTCTATATTATTCGGATTGTGATAGAGTGCATATATTTATGGGTTGCAGTAATTCTATACCTATAACTAAAACAGGAATTAATATTGATAACACTAATTCAATTTCTAAAAAAATAGCTACTTTAAATTGTGATGTGACCAATTCATTAGATGATATCAAAAATCGACAAGCTAGACCTGAAATAAGTTAAATCATTTAATAATTTATATGTAATTTCAATTTAATTCAGATGCTTTATCTAATAGATTTTTGGCTGTAATATATTTTTGGAGTATATAATAAATAATATAGATTTGGGGGGTTTATTTCGGAAAAAACAAAATTTTAGATATATCATTTCAAGAAAAAGATATATATGGAATACTTAAAATATCTTTCATAAATTCTTATTGATATGCCAATGTCCTAACTTCACCTAATGCCTATGAATTTTCTCTTTAAAAGTTAAATATTTTAATTGGTCTTGAAGGCAATAAAATAATTCCATTATTAAATAAAGCTAAAATAAATTTTAATAATATTCCAAAAATCATTATAATTTTACTAATTATTTTCCTTTGACTCGCTGTAGTACTACTTGTCCCTTGACATTATTGATGCATGTATTTTGTCAATAGGGAGTAAAAAATATTGCGGTAGGGAGTTAATTTGGGCCTTTTGCTTCCAATTTCTTTCCTCATGAAGATGGTGATAGATTCTTATTGAAGTGTGTGTCATTGGTTAACTCAATATTTAATCTAGAAAAATCGAAAGCCTGATGATTTTGTTTGTATGAACAAAGGTTTAGACATCTATTAGCAAAATCTCGAGGCTTAGAGCAATATTTTTCTAGCTAAAATATTGAGTTAGCCTTTTAAAAATTGACTCAAAACTTGCCGTTTAACAACACTAATTAAAATATATTTTCTAGTATATGTAAGAATGATACCCTTTTTAATTGGCTTGGGTTAGCGTATTAAGTTGATGAACAAAGGGAAGGAAGAGATATATTTGTAGTCCCAAAATATGTAGAGGACCCAAGGTATGATTATCATACCACCAAGCCTTCATTCATCTACACGAGATAAATTTGTGGTCTCAAGTGATTCGGAATGTAGGCGGATGTCAATTTATTCATGGCTTATCGCTGTGTGGCGCTCGTGACGCCCTTGACTATATACAATTGAGGGCGTGCCTATCCTTTGAATCTACTGGTGATTTGCATTTGATAAAAGCATGTGGTCCAATGTCACAACTTGACATAAAACAATGGACTCTCATTTGTTCGTCTGATAAGAGATAACCAAGGTTACAATTAGGGAGTGATTCTAACCATTCATGAACACCAAGTCTAAGCTGATTGATGCAGTTGAATGTAATCTAAAGGTAGATTGAAGGATATATCGGCATGAGCTATAAAATATAAATTATACTTTTAAAGGCAATATGTAAATTCACTACGAATGTTTATTCAACGATCATATTAATGTATTATATTGTATATTTGCATTTTAAAATTTTTCAATAAAAATAACTAAAATTTTCTATGAGTATCTGACTATTTTTTTTCTCTCAAAAAATCTTTCCTCCTTCAAAAAAAGCAGTTGCTCCCCCCCCCCAACTATTCCTGGCTACGCACTTGCATTCATCTCATAGGTTTAATAATATCAATTAAAAAAAGTCACCTTAAAAATGATTTCTCCACTTTATTTAAAATATGGTATTCAAATGAATGAAATATTTGATTCGATTTGTAAAATTGGAGCATTATACTCCTTATTTTTTATTCATCTTTCATATAATGTAAAATCAACTTTTATTGTCAATTTTAAATGTTTTTAATATATTTTCATTAGAGACTACAAGGTTAATCAAAAATAAATATTATGATTAATTTAAAAAAAATAAAACATATAAAAAGCTAAATGAACCGAAAAAATTTATATGAAGTGCGAAAGCGGAGAGAACGGATATAAATTTGTTTTAAATATACTTAGTTTTAAGATTTTAATATAACTAAGGACAACTGAAATAGAACTGTATCTATATACTAGACGGTTCAACACTCTGGATTAAACTGCAGCTGCAGGTAAATTTATTTATATACTCTTTTAATTAATTTCTGATTTATTTTCTTATAATATAAACAAATCATTAAAATTAAATTACAGAATCATTTGATGATAAAATAATATAAATTAATAATGATATATATTTCTTTCAATCTGATAATAAATATCTTTTCATTGCAATCAAAATAATTAGAATAAGAAGATAGGTAATCGATAATATTTATTTCATAAGGACGCACATTTTATTATTAAAAATTTAAATATCATTTTATTTCTTGGATAAAGTTTGGTGAGTTATAAGAATTGCAGGTATAGGGTTGGCTTATTATATATTTAAAAAAAAATAATGAATTTATATTAGCTTATTATTAAATATATCCAGTAATTCAATTAACAACTTGTTTATATTATAAGCAAAAAAGAAATTAGAACCTTAATTAATAAAGTATATAAATAATTTATACCTGCAGAATTTTTAATCTAGTCATTTACAGCCTCTCTAGACATTTTTAAACACCAATATTGAATATAAAGCTGATGTTTATTATGTAAAATTATTAATAATATATTATCGGAATTAAATAAAATATTGTGATAAAAACTTAATAAAAATTATTAAAAAATAAAAGTAATAGGAAATATGGTACATGTTTTATAGCTATCAACAGCATTGATTCTCAGATTCAAATGTGTTGTACAGTGTAATATAAAGAGTTGACTGAGGCAAATTGGTAAAATATGATTTTTGAGGACCTCATTTTTTTAGATCTGATTTTATTTTTTCGATCAAAACGATTTATTTATATATTATGTAAAATAATTAAAAAACATGTAAAAATGAAATTTAAAACCCATAAATTAAAAAAAATATATTAAAAATTATATTAAAAAAAAATAAATAAAATTTTATATAAAAAAATTAATGATAATGAAATTGGATAGGGAAATTTTGAAAGAAATCTGTCGACGAAGGCCTACTCTTTCGTTGGGATCACTGTAATGAATCTCCATTTTTTGCCGATGGTTTTAATAAGATTGAGAGCCTCCTTTCCGAAAATCCCTTAGGTGGAAGTGACCATTGGTATAAAAAACTGTGTCCAAGTGGCTGGCGTATTTTCTTTAAGATGCCTTATAGATGGCGGAAAATGGGAGATTAAATATCGCTTCAAATTAAAAGCAAATGTAGTCCCAGGTCAGTGAGAGACCGTTTGAGATATATACCTCGGTGTAAATTTATTTCTTCTATTTTTAAAAATAAATGTACAGTAATAGTTGGCATATGAAAAAATGTCTATAATGATTAAACATATATTTTTCCACATAATAACTAAATATTTTATAAGGGAATGCTGTTCAAAAAAAATCTCCGAAGATTATTCTAAAATCTTTGTAAATTCCTTGGTATTTTTTGCTCAAAATTTTATTATATTTTGAAGATATCTTTGTAAAAAATCTAATAGGATTAAATCAATTTTTATTATATTTTGAAGATATCTTTGTAAAAAATCTAATAGGATTAAATCAATTTTTATTTTATATATCTAATATTAAAATAAAATTGTTTCCTACAAATTATTTTTAATAGTTTCATATAAATATTATATTTGTAATAATCGATATTTTAAAAAATTTTCAATCTTTTTTAACGAAAATAGGAAAAAGGTAAAAACAAGATTTTAAATTTGATGCAATACTAAGTCAATAATAATTTTATTTAAAACCTAAAGAAAATTGTCAAAAATATATATTATAAACATGTTGCATTGTAATTTCCAAGATAATGTATCCTGATTAGGTTATAATCGTCATAAACTTTATTTTATAATTTTTTAAATATTATTTATGTAAAAATATATTTTTATATGTTGTAGTGTAATTTCAGTGATAATATATCCTAGTTTAGTAATATTTGTTATTAATGTTTTAATACCATTTTTTTATTTTTGCAGAATATATTTATTTTATTTGAGAATAATATATTTAAGAACAGTTTCAATTTAGAATACAACATAGAAGATATCAAAATGAAATTATGAAAATAAATATTTTATATAAATTTCATCTTAAAAACATTTAAAAAAAATTTAAAAACATATAACCCTATAGAGGAGTGAATGCTTAGGAAATTGGACCGGCAGATGAAAGAAATCTGCTGATGAAGAGAATCGAAGTCGCCTGTAATCTATCTTCTTAGCTTAGGTTTTAATAAAAAAGGGCCTTATTTCTGAACATTCCTAAGATGTTGTTAACTATGAACGCTGTGTTTGTGAGGCCAGTATATTTGTTTTTTAAGGAATTCTGCCTTTTCTATTGCAGAAAATGAAGATTAGACTTCGCTGCAAATTTGATATAAGTATAATCCCTGGTCAGCGAGAGACCGTTTGTCCAAAGAGATAATAGATATACCACTCGAGCGTAGGGCGTATTCATTTAAAAGGATCACTTTTTCAAGAATAAATGGGATATTAAATTTTTGATAGCAAGGAGAATGTTGTTGTTTGTTGGAAAACTTGCTGTGCATGAGATTGTAGGTTTCGATTCGATGGACTGGCCACAATTGATACAAATGGCGGGTACAACTACATTACAACCAAGGAGAAGAACTATAGATATGGGTAGTTGTTCACCAGTCATGAGGAGGCCGAGATACTGGGAATGGCTTCCATCTATTCATAGCCTTGAATTTGATAGTATGTTAATGGGGTTTTCATCGAAAGGACCGGTTTGAAATGAGGTATTAAAAAACTGGCGATCAGAAGCATCCCAGTCTTTTTAAATGCTGGACGGCAGGGGCAAACTATTGCTATACCAAATGGTAAGGGCCTTAGGTAGGTTAGGATCTAGTGGATACATTATTGATAATAACTTGAACGGCTAGATAAAGCGTGTCGCGGAGGAGTATGAAATTTTTTCAATATATTTTCTAGGAAACCCTTAATTTGTATTCCATGAGGAACTAGTAATTTGCTACGTTTGTAGATCCCAGTGCAGAGAATTTTGGGAATATTTGTTTCTATTAAAAAAAGATTGATGTATAGGAAGGTAATTAAATTATAAATATTTCAAACATGTTGAAATGTAATTTTAATGACAAATTACTTGCCATCATAATCGGTTTTTTAATCTTTTTAAAC